AAAGTTCCGTTGCTCATGGCGGCTTGGCTGTGGATGTTGACTTTTAAAGGTCTCCCTGTTTCAATGGCACGATTGATATGCAAAAACCACAAACGGACAGTCCCATCCTGTCCCAAACTTAAAGTAAAAACATACCAAAAAACATGCGTTGTGAATCCCTGTTTCAGTGGCACGTCCTCTTTGCGCGCGAACTGTTGTACCTTTCGTTTCCCGCTTGCGCTCGTCTCCGCCCGAGGTGTGGCCTCGTCGTGCTCGAGGACCGCCTGCGGAGCCAACTCGTCTAGAGTGTTTGAGCTACTCCGGACATCAAGGCGTTCTCTTTTGAAGCGCATCCCCAGTGACCCAGTGAATTAAAACAATATTCCAAACACCGTGCTGCTTGGAAAATCAGGGATCATCAACCCATCATGAACTCTTCATCCACGCCCAAATCAAGCCATCCTCCTCCATCTCCGCCTCTCCCCCGACCTCAACGAAGCGAATGCGCCGCACCTGCGCCGTCAGAGCCCCGCACCGCTGCTCGACCGCACTGCGCAGCGGCCCACGAGGAGAAGGACTGCCTCGGTGCGGATCGGTGCAGGTCGGTGGTTGCCTGGAAGTCGGAAGTTGATGTGTGGATGTTTTTTCCCTGCAGGCAAAGCAGAGGACAAGGCTCAACAAGCTCTGAAGGCTTCTACAGTATTCTTGAGTTCATGATAGGTCATGTCTTTGGAAGAAGAAAAGTGCTTGTTGGAACCTAACAAAATGGTCGATGTGTGGTGTTTGACCAGTTACCGGCATGTATTTATTGGCACAAGCGCATGCCCTTGGAGAAAAGCATCTCCAACACCGGAGGTAGTGTAGACCAGAAGCAGGAAACCCATAGTTTTGGGGGTGAAAGCCGTGGGTTTCCTGTAGATTTTCCCTTAAGCCAATTCTGGGACTCTTGGTACTGTAGACTAAGAGGTAGTCCATGTTTCATCGAACACTCGGAGTATCTTGGAGTCCGCGGTGTGGTCACTCTGTGCAGACTCCGACTTTGGTGTCCACCAACCCCTTCTTCCCCCAGGTGAAGACAAACCCCGAATTCATGGAGACTAGATTCTGGTCCGTGACAGAGCCCCTAAACTGACTCATGCCACGAAAGTAGGACATGAGGGCATGACCATATCTTAGGATTCAGCCAGCCTCAGTCTTTACAAGTAGCAGGAGTCAGTCAATGAAACCATCAGTCCAGTTTAGCCGAGGTTTTCACCTGGGTGGGATTGATTTACTAAATTCCCATCAATTGGGAGCAGAAACTTCCGGACAACTCGAGTCTCCTGCAGTCTGCCGGTCGAATCCAACTGTGTGGCCCTTCAACTTCCCATGCAAACCGTGGAACCCACCACCTTACCTTAGGGTTTCAAAGCCCTGGCTTTGGACCCTAGGGTTTCAAAACCCTCACCCCTAAAAACCTTAGGGTTTCAAAGCCCTGGATTTGGTTGTCCTAGCTTCTTCCCACCTCCTCACCTGATGTCCAGAGCCTTGCGGAACCCCCCCAAAATGGTCCATCATCCCGAGTCCTCCCCTCCCGAGCCGGAGATCTCTGGAAAAGAAAGGGTTATACAACCGAAGCTTCCACCTGTTTGACCTGTTTGGGGAACCCAATCCCCAATCCGAAGACAGAAGACACTCTGTGACACTCTGATCAAACGGTCATGAGGTTCCACCTGTTCTTCTTTGGACACCAATCCCCAAATAGAAAGCTTGTCCTGCTTGTCCTCTGACTGGGTCGGAATTGTAAGAATTTGTTCTTTTGAGGCTGGGATCCTGGGCAAGGGATGACCCGAGATAGTCTCGCTGGTTGAAACCTGTCACATCACACTCTGACATTGGTATTCAGTGAACTCAGTTCCCACGTTGAGAAGGAAGGTGAGGGAAACGTAAGGTGAAAAAGTCAGCGCAACTGAAATGTTTAACAATCTGTTCACTCATCTGCAGAAGCGTGGCTGAACGTCGGCGGCTGAAAGGCAGCGGTGGGAAACTGGTTTTGGGGTGGTAGCATGAAGGACCATGAAAGCAAACCGGTCAAATTGGACAGCTTGTGCAAAAGTTGGTCGCAGGTACACACAGTTGATCAGACTGTGCATCCACCGACAAGCATAGCTTTGTTAGCCAGCGTTTGCTTGTCGGCCGCTGGCATTGACGACTCAGGTGTCCCAGGTTCGTTCTCCTGCACCGCCTTCTGTAATGCGGCTAGCCCATAGTTATCCTGTTGCTGGATTCCAAAGTCGAATTCATGGTCGCTGTCTAGTCACTCACATTTGAAACCTGGAGAATCTCAAAGAGGGCGCTCACATCCTCGCTGCTGAAGTCTTCATTGTTGACGTTCAATTCATCAGAGCTTTGTGATAGCAATTGTCTAGCTCGCAAGGCAGTGGTGATAAGCCCGTCCTGCTCCCGATCTGCCTCCATGCGCTTTACATCACGTGAGACGATCTTAGCGAGCTCGATCAACTCAGCCACACGGGCAACTTGGCGATCAGTTGCCCCTTTGAAGCTTTGCCCCTTAGGTCTGGCCATTGATCCTAGTACATGGCGTCGTGTGTAACTCAGCGTCGCAATGCGCGACAGAAAAGCTGCTGCTGTCGTCCCCTGCTTCGTGGAGTAGTTGGAAAAGAAAATCGTGGCATTGGACCCTTCGGTGCAGGGGGTGACACACACACACACACACACATACAGGTCTCCCCAGTCACCCCTCATTCTGAGACCAATTCATTTTGAGATGTCAAATATGAGGAACATGGCGGGGCTGGTGACCACCATCAGTGTCGGTGAGTGTCCTAACAATCTTCACCTCATCTAACATCTTGATTGAGCACTCGGACCATGACACATCATGACACCATAGGAGTTGAAGATCTTTTTCGTTGGCGCTACAAAGCTTCCAGAGGTCCTGGGGCTATACGAACAGAAAGAAAGAAGAAAGAACACAAAGGAAAGAAAGTAAAACAAACAGACAACCAAACAGAAAGAGGAACTAGCTTTTTGAGTATGTGACCTCTTATATTATAGGTGAACTTAAGTGACCTTCTTTCCAGGCCTTTTCCGTGACTCTCAAAGCAGGGATCAAGTTCGTGTCCATGCGGTCCTCTGCAACAAAGGATACCCTTTTTCAACAGAGGGATGTCCTCGAGGCCTCCACAAAAGCAAAAACAAGCAAACAACACTGCAAAACAGTGTTGCAACCGTAAAATAGTCAAACACAAGCTTGTTTCTGCCTCGACCACATCCCACTCTCTTTTTCCAACTTCCGGTGAACACGGCTTCCACGTGTCGAGGCACACCCGGACGGTCCACCGAGCTGCCCATGCTGCCCATGGGAGAGAGCGCGCGGAGGCGCGGTGTGTGGCAGCGACTGGTGTGTGGCCTTTTTGGGACCTTGCGAGTTTTTCCTTTGGAACAGAGATGCAGAGTTCGTCAACATTAATTTTAGGCCCCCCGCCCTTGTCACCTTGTGGTCATCATAGCTGCGCTTTCTAGCTTCTACAAATATAGATACTTAATAAAAACAACCGAGGGTTTCAGGAATATCTTTCCATCAGGGCTCGTTCTTGCGCAGTGCTCGTAGCGCGCAGCTGCGAGCGGCGAAGCAACCCAATTCTTCGTCCCGGGAGGTGGAATGGTCAAAGTGCTCCGTTCACCACTTTTTGGTATTTCTGGGCACTACTACTAGTAGCTTCTTGTTACTACTAGTAAGGCACTTGTTACTAGTAGCGTGGCACTTGTTCCTAATAGCTTATTATTTCTGGGCAATTGCAGGCTGGAAGTTGTGAGACTCTGTGTCCCCCCCAAACAAACTGAGCTCTGAAGATGTTCGCCCCGGAAGAGAATCCAGCGAACGTCTGTAACTCCCAGAAACTTGGACCCTCAAAGGTGAAGGAGTTGGGGTGGTGTTTATAGTGAAACTAGTCCATGGTGTTTCTAGTCCAAGTTTATTTTCCACAAGTCACATGGAGTTGGGTGGTGTTTCTAGTCCTTGAGTGGTCATCCCATCAGTGGATATCCGTCCTCCTCCAGTGGTCTTCGGGAACGGCAGTCCGAGTGACCTGTGACTCCCGGTTCATGGTCCTTTGAGAGGGTGCACACCCCTGAGGGAAAAAGGACTCGCAGGGTCGCTTCAAGTCTTGTGGGTCCGTCGTCGGAAGCGATGGCACCACTACCACCCCGTCGCCCAGCTCTGGGAGCGGGTCTCGGAGGACTCGAGGTCGGTGGTGCAAAACAACTTGTGGTCATGAGTCAACACATAAATGTAACCCAGACACTCCATGGACTGCCATATATGCCGCCCCATTAACCCCCAAAACCACCCCAACTGATCGGCATATATGACAGTCCCATTAGTCGTGTCTGGGTGTAAGATATGTATTGGCACATCATGGCACATCCAGAAAACGCTGCACCGGGCCCTGGCTTCGCGTTTTTGGATTACTCTTCATTACGGTCCTCGCTGAACTACCCTGAACTGACAGGATGCTTGAGAAATACAAAACCTAAGTCCACCAGGTTTGATAGTGTGAGGCTTGGTGTCAGAGTCTGCAGGATGGATACCGGTAGAGGGCCTATATGGTATAGTGGCCAATCCCCTCTCACCTGCTCCCCACAGTGATGTGTGGCCAAAAAAAGAAGCGTCCAAGAATCCAACGCTCCTTTTCTCAAGCTCCAACATTCTCTCTAGTCCTTGTGGTCCATACAACCACGCTAAACAAAGTTCATGGCAAGATAAACACTTACACTTACAGACTGGCGCGACTCCAAATGTGGGACAAACGCAATCCAATAAGCCTCCAACTTTAATGTATAGACTCTTGATTCATAAACCATCATAAAGCTCCCCAAGACATGGGTTGAAACACCTCCTCTGCACTACATGGGGAGCTCCATTCATCAAGAGTCTACATTTTTTCAGGATCCCTGCCACCTCTTCACTTCCTTCCCTCCTTCACCCATCGCACCGGCCTCCCCTGGCCCAGCTCGGCCTCGACGATGCGGTCGTTCACCGCCACCTTCTGCTCTTCCGGGGCGGTCTCATTCCACTCCTGGCGTCGACGCATCTCGTTCGATCGATGTAGCCAATTCTACAAGGGATATATTCCCATGGTTTTTAGGCGGTTTTTGGTCGTTTTTGGTGTCACCCCGCGGATGGTGATTCAATTGTGTCACTTGTTTTCAAGAAAAAACACAGTGTGCAGCGGTTCAATAGGATCGATGGATCTTCAACTGGTTCGTTTTCTGGGTCTTTTGGCAGGGTGGTGATGCTGGCGATGCACTGGAGTCCTTGCTTTAGCTAAAGCCCTTTCCGAAACATATCGGTCAACTGAAATCGTCACTCCCAAGTATAGGGTTGAAAAGTAACACGACGTCGCCCCCCGAATTCGGGCCCCAACGTGGAGATGTCGCATGCAGATGTAGCGCCAAAGCTCAGTCCCATGTGTTTCTCCCTCCAGACTTGCAAGAGAAACACACAAAGGTCCCACAAAGACCCGTGCTGCTTTTTTCCTCCAGCCCTGTCACACCTTCTTAGAGAAGCTATAGAAAAGGAGCGGGATACACCAAAAAGAAACACACATGGCTCAAGAAAGACAATCCAAAAGGAGCTGCGATGGAGCAGCATATAAGGTTTGTGGATCGTTGGTGCGTGCGGAACTCTCCCCCCCAGACAGCGGTCGTCTGGTCGTCTCTCTTCATATCTCTTCGCCGGTCTCGGTCGGGGCAAGGGTTCTTGAGCTACACAACACATGTGATTTGACAGCTCCGACATGTTCCGGCTCGAAACCTTCCATCGACACAGAAAAACCACTCCCATATACGACTAATGGGACTGCCATAGGACTGCCGATCAATTGACCCCTCTGGCACCACCCTGGCCTGATCGGCAGTCCTATATATGGCAGTCCCATTAGTCGTGTCTGGGACTGAAAAAAAAACGCCGTTCCTTGACGAGGCCCTCGTTGATGCCTCGTCCGCACCGCACCGAGGATTTCTTTGAGAGGCAGATCGGAGGCGATCGCGAAGAGATTCATAGGGCGAACACCCAGCAAGTTCGGTTGTTTTTTGGCAAGAAGAAACTTAGAAAATTGATGAACATCGACATTCAAAGAGGAGAACCCCCAGAGAAGACCAGCAATGAAGTCTCTGCTTGCACAGTGGGAGATTGGAACAATGTGTACAATGTTTTTATCACAAAACAACCGGGGTGCCTTCCCCCACTTCATTCAGCATTTTCAAGGGATCGTGCCAGAGAAGGGCATCCAAGACAGACACACATATTATGTTGCTTCCGTGCCAAGGCGCATTCGATGAGCAACGTCTTTCCGTCTTTGTGATCGACATCAATTCCCATCCTCCCGTTCGACGACCGAGTCAAGACGCGACGGTGGAGTGGAACGATGGGATCCAGTCGAATCCACCTGAGAAGCTGCAAAACGAAAGCCAGCATTTTTACTTTCGAGTGTGCTTTCTCAGGCCACCCCCCCCGAACCCCGCTTCTTACTCAGCTGGCGCAGGTATAGATACCCAGGGTAGCTACAATTCAGATACCAGGTATAAACTTCAAGTTCCCTTTCCGTCAACCGCTCGATAACCTTTACACACGCACAGCAATCCACAGCTTTGAAGTCTCATTCTTGCATTGAACTTATATAGGTGTGTAAGAGGTACAGCAACTTATAGCAACATAGAATTTATACGGACCCAGGGTAGCTTCAATTCTGTTGCCAGGTGTCCCACTTCAATTTCCCTACCCTGGGTCCGCGTGCGCGCGCGCCTTGCTGGCTCCCCGGACTGCCCGTGATTTAGGCGCGCGTGCGCGCGCGCGCGGACCCAGGGCAGCTACAAGGCAGGTGCCCAGGTATACCCAGGGTAGCTACAATTCAGTTGCCAAGTATAGCACTGCAAGCAACCGAAGACAATTGCATTTCTTAAACTCACCAAAAAAAAAGCGCCTCCAAAACCTTGCTTCCGTGCACCCCTACACACCGCCTACTTTCGAGTGTGCTTTCTCAGGCCACCCGCCCCGAACCCCCTTCTTACTCAGCTGGCTCCTTGCCAGGTATAGATACGCAGGGTAGCTACAATTCAGTTGCCAGGTATGGTACTTCCAGTTCCCTTTCTGTCAACCGCTCGATAACCTTTACACATGCACAGCAAACCACAGCTTTGAAGTCTCAGTCGTGCTTTGAACTTATATAGGTGTGTAAGAGGTATAGCAACATAGCATTTATACGGACCCAGGGTAGCCACAATTCTGTTCCCAGGTATCGCGCGCATGAGACTTCAAAGCTGCGGACTGTGCGTGTGTAAAGGTTATCGAGCGGTTGATGGAAAGGAAACTTGAAGTAATTGCTATACCTGGTAACTGCACTATAGCTACCCTGGGTATCTATACCTGGCAAGGTGCCAACTACACCCTACCATTCAGATGATGCAAATGATGCAAATTGCATTTCTTGCATCACCACCCCTCAAAAATCACCTCCAACACAACCTCAAAAAACCTTCCTTCCGCGCACCCTCCTCCCCCAGCATGTGCCGAGTTTACGTGTACCTTTCTCGGGCCACCCGCCCCAGACCCCCTACCTACTCACTTCGTTCGCCAAGCACAACTCAGCTGGCGCCTTCTACGGAGGCTGGCTTTCGTATTTCCCCTGCAACGAGGGTTCCAACGACCCTCCAATGGGGTACAAGATCCCTAAGTAGTGTACGATGATCCAAAGGACACCCATTGTAGTCCTGGTCCTGAAAGGTACGCAATTGGCATCCCGAACCCCGACAGCAAAGTCTTACTGAAACACTGCATCGAAGATAGATCTGCATTGACTGCGACTCCCAAGAGAAAAATTGTCGCAACCATATATCCAGTATGATCCAGCCGTTCTGATGTTTGGTTGCGTCTAGAAACCACTCATCTGCAGAATCGGTGACCGCAAAACCAAGCTTGCCACACGTTCCCCAAAACGTACGTCCAGTCTGATCCAGTCTGATCCTGGGTCTTTGACCTCATTGGGGTAGTGCTTTTGTATGAAGAACTCCAGTCTGATCCGGGATCCGTTTTCGTACCGAACCTCAGGCGACGGTTTGTTTATGTGTTTGACACCGAGTGTTCTGTGGCGCCTTAAGGCTGGGGCGAGAGCAGTCGAAGCGGCGAGCTGGCGGAGTCAGTTTCTACCAGGGCAACCGCACCAGTCACTCGGGCACACAAGCTTTTTCCGCCCAAAACCCACTGAATCTCCCAAAAGGTGGAGCAAAAGGATCTACAGACTTAGGAAAAAAACCACGCTTCGACCCTCCAGCAGGACAAGTCTAGTAGAAACTGTAGACTACTTATATAACTCATTGAAAGATCAAACTCGTATACCTTTTGTCATCCTTCTTGCGCTTCTTGTGCACCCGCACCCGCCGTGCCCCCGCCCGCCCTTCGCTCCCTCACCCGCCTTACGATCTGCCTCTGCGTCTGCGTGTTCGACGACGTGCGAACTCGTCGGGTCGGGGTCCTCTTGCCGTTGGTTTTCTTCAGAATCACTTCGTATTCGTGGAGCCACCGACCTGCCACCCAGGCCGCTTCGGCGGAGGGAGTGTTTGTGGGCGAAGACGTGTTTTTTGTTGTCCTGTTTGTGAAGCAAACCAGTGGAAAAATGTGGAGGTGATGATATTAATACTTGAAGCAAACGTACAGTTGCATGTGATATCAGGCAAGCAAGCAGTCGATGCCGATTTCGGGTCCCTTCAGATCTTGCCAGCGAGTCTGTTCATCCCTCCAACTATTATGCCGAGACTTGCAACCAACCAAGCGACAAACAAAATAGACAAATGATCCCCTTTGAAATTAGACGTGAGCCTCGTGCAATCACATGTTGTTCTACTTATGTTGCCGTTTAGTTACAAAATAATAGATCAAAACAGCCCAAATGCGGCTACTACAAACTGAGCTTTGCAGCGGGGTCGTGCACACTGCCGTGCACACTGCGCTTTTCTCTACTTGTTATGCTGGAACTACACTAGGCTTAATGCAACATGCCATGGTACGGAAGTCAAAAAAGGAAGTAGATGTTGCGCTCCTTTTTGGACAAGGCCTTTCTACACTCTTCTAACTTCTACCTGTTTTTGGATCTAGGACATGCAGGTGGAACCTGGATGTTTGCACCTGAAATCTTCAGTAAACCAAAGTTGAACCACCTTGAAACAACACAAGGGTCTCCGCTTGATCTGGCGGAAAAAGCACATCAAAAGCAGCAGCTCATGAAGAGACATTAAGAATCATTAATACATTTTAGGTACTTCAAATCAAAACAAAACTACACTTGGAGAAACTAGTGGATGTTTTTTTCCTGTTTGTGATCTCTTATCTTTTTGTAGTGTGAGACGGTTGCTTCAACTTCTTTTGCAGCTACCAATCACTCGAAGACTTTTCCACAAATTTCTACCCTTTTTGTTCCTACGTCCTTTTTGTCTCACGTACATGGAATTCCGGTTTGGCAGCAAGTGTACAGTGCTTCTGCCATGTTTCCTGACAGAATGGTTTTTGCAAGGCTGGCATACAATGTTCGCTACTAGGAGCAAAGGGCATGCGGCATCGCTACTAGGAGCAACAACGCAGCTAGGAGCCGATTCCTTTGTGACTTGCTTTCATTTATCCAACCGGCCGGTACGGGTTCGATAATCTGCTTCACCTTCCTCCAATGCCAGCTCTCGGACTAGGCGATCATTAAACCTGGACATTCAGTAACCAAAAATGACTATAGAATGAACTATTGACCCCATGGAATATCCCAGACTGTTTATATAATTAAAAAACACTCCAGGGAACCAAGGAAAAGATTAACTACTGTAATTGCAGACTGTTCATTTAATTCACCAAAATTAAGAAACAACAAGACCTGAGAGGTAAGGACAAAAGGGTCGTTTATAAAACAAAAACAATGATTGTGTCACAGCTGCCCCCCCTATAAAATAAAACAGGAACCAAACACTGGCCTATAAAATACAAAACTATTGAATTATCTTTAAATTGTTATTGCATACAATGGCAGCAAAGACTTGTCTCTGTTTTTGTCTTTGACTGGGGCCAACTTTTTGGAAATGGTCGACGCTGTCTTGAAAACAAGGGCACTGTCTCGAAAAAAAGTAGGTTTTGAAGACAGTGTTGAAAGACAGTGTTGAAACAGTATGTTTAAACAAAGGTCTGACTAAATAATAGCAAACTGCTGTCCAGCAGTATATTCAAACAAAGGCCAAAGTGTTTTCCATCTTGCTTACAACATCTTACAACCTTCGCGACAGTGGCCAGTGCAGCTGGAAAGCGCAACCTTTTTTTCAAGTCCTTTCAGACCAAGGGTCGGTCTGGTCCGGTCCATTCCAGTAAACTCAAACGTAGATTCCATAGACGCCCTCCACCCTTCCATATGTAAAAAGAACTCATCTGATTGCCTCTTCCCGCTTCAGGGATTGGCAAATTAAATGAGATCCGTGCGACAAAGGCGCGGTGAGAGGGCATCAATTCCAGCCGTCTTGAAGTTGGGGAATCCACTTGCAAAAGCGCCTGCAGGTTTCCAGGCAGGACTGATGCCACTGCTCCCAACTCCTGGTCCTAGTTCTCAAAGTCAAAGAACATAGTCCCACCAGCCGGTCGTCAGATCCACCAGGTACCAAATTCTGTGAGCTCCATATTGGATCAGCTCGCCATTAGATCGCAAAACGCGACATAAATGAAATAACAAAGGTTACAAATTCGAAAATCACAGCTCCAATGCACATTGAAACTAATACTAATACGGGCTACGCGATTTTCTGTAACCTCTTGTGCACATCTGATATATCTGATTCTATCATATTCTATCCAAGGATATCCAACGTTCAGGCGTGTCAATGGCATGTTCTTGAGGCAGCATCACTCTGCGGAGGAAGCGGGCTGAGACTATAAACTCAAAACTCAAGACTCCACAAATTCAAGTGCTTTCTATAGAATCAGAATCCAACCTACCTCACTGTAAAACATCCATCCACTCTAAAATAAACTCTCAACCTTCTACTTTTCGAAGGTTCTCTCTATAGAATCAAACCCTCTGTCCTCTATAAAATGCCCTCAATTTTCATATATTCTCTATAAAATGAGGGTGGTCAACCTAGTGATCCATCAATATATGATTCTCTCACCTCAGATATCCTCAGAATGGATCTTTTTCAGGTAGGTTGACTTTTGTTTCTATAGAAAATCTCTATAAAATGCTAGGTCATTTTGGAGCTCGACCTCCCCCATTCTATAGGGGTTATTCTATCGGGTATACTGAATATATCAACAAAAAACACAAAGTTGACACGCCACAGGTGGCGGCGCAAAGGCACGGGAGTCATTCATTTGGTTCGCCCGTTGTTTCTCTGCTAGACAAACGTTCGCACAGCGTGCATTGCCCGTGTGGACTTGGATTCAATGCTGCCCTGTAAGGAAAGTATGTTGTCTTCTTGGTGAGCATGGGGGACCATGAAGTGAGTTTGAGGTTGCTGTTGCGAGGCCTGAGTTTCCAAACGCATGCACACATTGTGGTCGAGTGCAGCAAATCGAAATCCTCCGGTTTCGCCGAGATTGATTGGACAAATAATCGAGCGCCTGTGTTACCAAAGACTCAATTGCAGCGTCGACATGGATTTCCTGTTCCATGTCGTCTAGCAAAAGCGTTTGTTGCAAAAGCCTTGGAGGGGCAGTTTGTATACGCCTCCAGCCTCTGGCAAACAGCTTTGAAGAGTTCAGGCATGGGTTTCCCGGAAATTGTGGCTCTTAAATCGCGTTGCGTTTTGAGCAAAAGGAACGGCTCAGCGTTCGGCAAAGGCACGTCACAGGAAGTATAAGTATGTTCTTCAAGTTTAAATGGCGAAGACCTTGTGACATTGAGGGCTTGAGAATGAGGATTTTTTGTAGTTATGTAATTAGTTGTCCAAAAGGACACGTGATGAATCATGTCCCAAAGTGTTTGCAAACCTAAGCCAAAGCTTTCAAACTTGATGCAAATGGCTGGTCCGCCAGGTTCGCTTGCTTTCTACGAAGCGTGGGTCCTGCAGTGCAAGACCTCAGTTCGTAGTCGCTGGTCCGCCAGACTTCGGTGGTAACATCGCGTGACCGAACGTAGATCTGAACGTCAGGCGTTGACTCCACGAGTCACTCAAAGGTATATTCAAGGCGTTGATCAACATTGTTGACTCAATGTTGGTCTTAAAGCGTGACCATATTCCACCGAAAGGTATCTAAAAACAATGGCAACACTGGGTTCTAGCACTGATTGGTAATTCGAACTGGTCGCGCGCTTCAACTCGAAGCGTCCAAACGGTCGCGCAGCCATTGAAACGACGCGCAGCCAGTCTTTGCAAACGAGTCTTTCTTACAGCAAAATGGCGATGGCTTGGCATAGCGGCTTGCCTCCAGATTTGTGGTCGTTCAGCGTGTGCTTGCGCTCACAACGCTTGTCTTTGTCTTTGACTCGGCTGATGGATATCAAGCTTTGCTTCATCCGCACTGCTTGTGTCCACGGCTTGTCTTTGAAGTGCCCCGCAACGCTTTCAACAAAGCTTGCCACCGAATGGCAGGTTCTACAGCAGAGACCCAACTGGACTAGGAGCAAAGGGCATCCCTACTAGGACTAGGAGCTTCTTGCTACTAGTAGTAATGCCCTTGTTACTAGTAGCGATGCCCTGTGTTACTAGACTAGTAGCTTCTTGTTACTAGTAGTAAGGCACCTTGCTACTGGTAGCATCCTTGCTGCACTTGCAGTTTCTTCTACCAGACCCATCGCTAATGAATTCGCCACTGCCTCAACCAACAGCGTGCCAGACTTGCTCCAAAACACCACTAACATAACTGTTTCTGTCTGACAGCAACTCGTGTGCTCTTTGCCCCATCCACCATTAGCCCCGGCCTTCTTCTCGTTCTTCTCGTCCCATCCGCCTTGGAGATTGGGGACTGCGATCTTCGGCTTCGAAAGAACCAACGGTGTTGCACTCGAGATAGATAGAGGACATCCCACGATTTGTTCCTGGGCCACTTGTCTCAGGCAGTAGGTCGTCCTCAAGCTCTTGAGTCACCCTCCTGAAGCTTGATGGGAAAATAAAGAACATGCATGTTAGGTATACCCATCCCGTGGGTCCAGTGGATGGTGGTTAGTAAAAGTCAGTTTCAAACGTGTGGATAATCTTCTACCAATTGTTACGGGTAGTGGATGGTAATGGGACATACCCTACATGGATGTGTCACATAAATCATTGGGGTAAAATATGGTAAGATCCTTCCAGAAGATCGAGAGTTTCTTGTGGAAAGACAGTGAACTTCAAGCCCCGACCTTTGTAAGTAACACACTCAAAGCCAGACATGTCTAGGGTTCCTCTACAATCATGTTTACATGTTCATTGCAATTTCCTCCAATGTGATTGCAAGCGTGGATTGAACACCTTAGCCGCTGTGATCAAGCCCTGAAAACTTGGTACTTGCAACTCTGCCTTTTGTTGTGGAAATAATAGTACTAGTAGTACCAATAAGTAATAACCTTTGACCTGGACTTGCATGATCAAAACCACATAATGTCATCGAAACCTCTGTTTACATCTGAGCTAATAATGTCACACTTGTAATTCTAGACTCTTGATTTGATACAAGCCCTCACTTGGAACATCACTCCTCTTCAAAAAATGAGGGGGATTTGATCAATTCTGGGAGACCTTTGCCTTTCATGAGCCACCGTCCGGTGGCTCCCAGTGCCTATCACCAGCCAAATCATACCAACAAATCCCACATCCGCTCGTCTCGCTCGTCTCGTGAGTGAAACTCCGCCGAGCTGCGCCAGCTCGGAGTGATCGATGGAGGCGGCGGGCGCTGGAAGGTCCTTCGGCGGTCGCAGGTCTTTCCAATCGGCGCAGGTTTCTCGCGAAGCAAACAGCTGTCGTCAGTTTCACCCACATGGAGATGCTTATGTGATCTTATGTATATAGGGCTGTATAACTATAATGACATTGGATGCTACTCTACTTTTTGGAGCTCCAGCCATACGTATGGATCCTGTCTGAGGTTTTGGAACACCCCTGCCGACCAACAACGGGCGACCCTGGAAACATCGGAAAACCTGATCGAAAACGGACGGCCGTGCTGAGAAGCCCAGCCTTCGCTGGCCGGAGCCCGTGGGGAGCCGACTGTGGGAACCTGTTTTTTTGCATCGCTGGCCGACCGTGTGAAAACCCAACTCCATTAGATAACCGCTGCTGACCCCGATGGCCCGGTGGGTTCCAACCGTGTCAGTTCACCTGGACACCGGCAGGACGGGACTCCAACTTTTTGAACGACGGAGACCGTGTTGTGAACGATGGAGACCGTCAGTTCAGTCATCGAATTTTGACGTTCAGTCAGTCAGTTCAGTCAGTTCAGACGTTCAGTGATCGAATTTCGTTTTGCGGTGGAGGTCTTTTGCCGCAGGGCGAGCAACAAACTGGCCTCTTTTGGGGGTCTAATCCATTGGAGGCCATCGCTATTAGGTTGGAGGCCATTGCTCTTAGGGTGGATGCCATCGCTCTTTGGAAGGAGGCCATCGCTCTTAGGGTGGAGGCCATTGATATTAAGTTGGAGGCAATCGCTTTGGCAGGGCTTTCCCGCAAGGCCAAGCCGTGCTGAGAAGTCACCCCCCACAGCTAACGGCTGGGAGATTGTAAAGATGCCCTCAGCTTGCTTTGGAAGAGGATGGAATGAACAGTTTGCTGGAGCCCTCCATTTCGTGAGTGTAAGTGCATCTTGCTGGCAGAGTCGCAATTGGTTTGAAGAGGTTCAGGGCCCACGGCGCTATCCCACAAAATGAAGCAGCTTTGATGTTGCCAATAGTAGGTCAGGGTGTTGGTGAGGGACCCAGGCAAACCCAAACGCTTCATGACGACGGCAGTGCATCTTGGGCATTCACACGGTTGATGATTTGAACATCCTTCATTGTAAAAAACGAGAGCTGCTGAGTGATCCATGTTCAGCTCCTTGTGCGGGTGATCCATCTAACGGTCGAACGGTCACCGGAACGGACTCCACCACCCCCGCCACCGCAGCACCCCACAGCAAACCCCACAGTCCGGCGCTTCGCCACCAGCTGGAAGCTCCTGACACGGGTGGAGACGCTTCCAGTTTTCAAACCTTCAAAATAACGACAAATATTCGTCAACTGGGGCAGTCATTCCCAACTATACCCAGACACTCCATGTATGTCATATATGCCTACATTGGGGTGGTTTTGGGGGTCAATGGGGCTGCATATATGGCAGTCCCATAGAGTGTCATAGGATTGAAAGGTGAAGACATGTTAAAACGACATGACAGCACAGCATATCGCTGCACTGGAACGCAACTTAAAACACAAAAAACATGCTCACTTCTTGGGGCATGTATATAGCTGCACACTAAATGCCACAAGAAGTGAGTCCGAACTCGGAGTCCAATCGCCGAACTCGGTGGAGCGGCGCTGTGGGAGCGACGTGTGTCATACGACGTGCCAAGGGCTGGGAGGGCCACGAGCCACGTCTTACGTGACACGTTCGGTGAAACGAAGGGCGGCAACGAGACCCTGCGACAGGTGAAACAATCCGTTTTCTTCCAGAAACTGGTGGACTGAAGAGGACAAACGCACTCTGACATTGGTCTTCAGTTGATCTATTCCCAAGTGGAAAAAGGTGAGGGAACGGAAAGGTGCATGAGTCCGCAGACCAGTATTGTTTAACAGAAGGTTACGCGTGACCGCAGAACACTAGTTACACATGTGACACACACACTCAGCTGCTTTGCGGCGCTCCGGCGAAAAAACCTAAAGAGGCACCTAAAAAGCCTTAGAAACGAAAGAAAGAAAGACAGAAAGAGTAGCGCTAAAAGGGCAGGAGAAAAGATAGTAAAAGGTGAATACTTAGCCCTTGACTGGGGCAGGGAAACGAACCTCAAGAACTACCTAAAAAGCCTGAAAGAAAGCCCAAGAAACGACGAAAAGCGCAAGAAAGAAAGCGGGGGGGCAGGGAGGGGGTGCACTCTAGAGTTACTGACTACTTAGCGGAAACTAAGTGGGTGCAATAGTTAGGGAGCGGGACTTTAGTCTTAAACCCCCCGGGTAGAGTAGACTAGAACAGGGACAACAGAGGGAAAGGCACCGACACACAAGTGTGTCGAGTACCATTTCCCTCTGTTACCCTAATTAGGTAGGGAGTAGAACTCGCCGGGGGGGGGGGGGCGGCGTGGGAACCCAAACGATCAGAGGCCAGTTGGCAACAAAATTGGTCTCGAAAGTGGTCTTGAAATTGAACGCTGGCAGCGAAAGGAACTTGACAAAATGCGAAATCAATCGCACGAATGCATCGGTGGAAATGTTGTCGTGGGCCCGACGGCATAGGATTTTGGGGTCCAGAATAAAAAAATATTTCCGCTAAGAGAAACCAACGTGTGCAGAACGGAAGAAAATCAGTGAATGGTAATCCGGAATGAGGACAGCGGTCCCTTTCGGGAGATCACACCCAGCACCCAAGTGGGACGACTGAGCGGTTCACACTTTGACATTGGTTTTCAGTTAATCTATTCCCAAGTGGAAAAAGGTGAGGGAACGGAAAGGTGCATGAGTCCGCAAAACAGTATTGTTTAACAGAAGGTTACGCGTGATTGCAGAACACTAGTTACTGAATACTTAGCAGACCTAGGAAAGGACAGAGTGAACCGAAAGGCGAAAAGTCCAAGTACTTGAAGGTGCTTTAACAAAGGCTGACGCGTGACTGCAGAAAACTAGATACTGATTACTCAGCAGACTGAATTCACGCCGTGCAAGGAAACCTGTTTTGGGGGATATCACGCGAAGAACCACCATGGAAACAAACCAACAGCGGCAAGGGAAACCAGTGGAGTCATTGCGTTTGATGCAGGTACACAGTGGAGCGTCCTCCACTGCTTCAGCACCAACCGATACCCTCTTCGTTGGATGGGAAGTATCGGTGGTGACCCGTCCCCCTGCGTATTAAAACTCTTGGAAGCAGACAGAGTGTGACACACTCTGACATTGGTTTTCAGTTATGCAATTCGCACGTGGAAAGAAAGTGAGGGAACGGAAAGGCGCACGAGTCCGCAGAAAAGTATTGTTTAACAAAAGTTTCACATCAAGCTCAAGTGAAAGCGGCGATCAGCGGTTGCATTGCGGAGAGAAAACCTGTTTGTGGGAAGGTATCATGGGCAACCGCCATGAATCAAATCGAAAGTGGAAGAGCTTGGGCAACGGTTTCTTCGCAGGTACGCAGTTGGACGTCTCCAACTGTATCACAGGTGACTGATGAGCGTCTTTGTTAGCACCGGTCTCATCAGCCCCTCCGGTGCTTCTGCTGCTGCGCTCTCATCTCCTGGCAGCACTGGATACACGTTCACGATCGGGTCCTCATCGCTGACTCTTCTCAGAGCCTTCGAGAGCATCTTGACCGCTGCTTCAGCTTTGATCTCACTTGTGGTGAATTCGAGCAGAGCGGGATCTGAGAGAGTGCTGAGCGTAGCCGTGTCTGGAGCTAAAAACTCATCGAGTTCTTTTCGTCCGGCCCCCCTGACTCCTATGATCGCCCCCTTGGCTCGCGAAGGAAATATATACACACACACACACACTTGAGAAGGTTGCTCCGCGGAGCGCGATTTCAAGTTCTACGCGGGGATCATTAGCCCTTTAGGTGACTACTTAGCACTTGACTTGATTCAACGGAAAGAAGTGCAGAGTCAGTCGAACAGAATGTTTGAACATAGGTGAAACGTGGAGAATGAATACT